TATTATTATTATTATTATGAGGTCCCGGGTGTCTATTTGTGGAAATACTTTGACTCTCTAAACAACAGACCACCGCCTGGGGTGTAGCGGTAAGTAAGGAGCTTTACCGTCGCATGCAGAAAACCTGAGTCTGAGATGCATGTCGTGGTGTAGATAGCTAGTTTAGTTTTAGTAGAGGTTTTACGGCGCTCGCAACTGCATAAGGTCATGTGAGCGCCAGAAGATCAGAGGTGTTACAAGAGAGTAACAAACATGATGAAAAAGAAGAAGGGAAGATAAGGACGATATGTGTTTCATAGGAAAGAAGAAGCAAATCATGCTGGAGCTCCCGCCAACCACCCACGAATTTGCGTAGATAGCTTTTATCGAGGGCCTCCGTCTGTCTGCTGGGACATTGCATCCCTCTCAGCCCCAGTTGAACCTGGAGACAGGGTCGAAGCAGCCTTCCTCCAAGATGGTCTAAATGCAGCCTTCCTCCAAGATGGTCTAAATGCAGCCTTCCTCCAAGATGGTCTAAATGCAGCCTGTCTAAATTGTGTCTGTAAGGGGGTAAAAACCATCTATATTCAGATCAATAGAAGACAAATAAATAACACACGGAGATAAGACCCCGCCCCCCTTCCCCCCACCCCCCTTAGTCTTGAGAAGCTTGGATGTACGATATACACCACCATCATCAGACGAATTTTGTCAAAGTCAGTATAAACATTTAATGCCTTTATCGATAGGGCCTACAATTTGTAAATCGTTTATCCCTTTACAGTCACAGAGCCAGCAGCACAAAATACCCCTTTGGTCACTGACTCTGCCAGGAGAGTGACGGCAACGAAGTTCTCGGGCCTGGCGTAGACGGATAATTGTGTGTGTTTACAAAACACACGCGCGCGCGCACACACACACACACACACACACACACACACACACACACACACACACACACACACACACCAGGCCAGAACGGATACTTTTCACCATCGCATTATTGCGCCAAGAGACCGCAAAGTGCTAAGAGACGGGTTGTTTCAACCCTGCCATCAAGTAAGGCCAATCCGAGCGAAACGGGATACAAAGTCTTAGAGGCAGACAGTCGGAGACTCTCGATAAAAAAACACCTTCCTACACGGGAATCGAACTCACGACTTGAGTGACTGAATGCAAAGAGCTTTATCACAACATAACAGAAGGGGCCAGCCAACCAGAAGCGTATTGTCACTCTGTGAGAGAGACCAGACTTTTTACCTTCCCAGATTCGCTCGGGGTTAGGATTGTTCTGTCAAGAATTATATGGACATACTGTATGAAAACAAAATCATAGGATCATACTCTATGAAAACAAAATCATGCGATCATACTCTATGAAAACAAAATCATACGATCATACTCTATGAAAACAAAATCATACGATCATACTCTATGAAAACAAAATCATACGATCATACTCTATGAAAACAAAATCATGCGATCATACTCTATGAAAACAAAATCATACGATCACACTCTATGAAAACAAAATCATACTATCATATTCTATGAAAACAAAATCATGCGATCATACTCTATGAAAACAAAATCATACGATCATACTCTATGAAAACAAAATCATGCGATCATACTCTATGAAAACAAAATCATGCGATCATACTCTGTGAAATATGAAAACAAAATAATATAACCTTACTCTATGAAAACAAAATAATACAATGATGCTCTATGAAAACAAAATCATACAATGATACTCTATGATAACAAAATCATATGATCTTTTTCTATGAAATATGAAAACAGAATAATACAATCAAACTATGTGAAAACAAAACAAAAAATCATACTCCATGAAAACAAAAATCATACGATCATACTCTATGAAATATGAAAACAAAATAATACAATCATACTCTACGAAAACAAAATTTTACGATCATACTCTATTAAATATGAAAACAAAATTTTACGGACATACTCTATGAAAAAAATAAAAGGCCATACATGGCCATACTCTATGAAAACAGAATTATAGAACTCACTTTATGAAAACAGAACCAAATGAACATACTCTAAAGAAACAGAATTAAAGGAACATACTATATGAAAATAAAATTTTACGAACATACTATGAACAGCGGAAATACAGAGCTTCGATCTACGTCACTGACATACAAGCACTGCGACAGAATCTGCGCTTTAAACATAGGAAGAATTAGCCAGGAAAGAAGCTGCATGAAGACAACCTTCAGGCCATCTCAAGCTAAATTGACCGTCTGAATAGACAAAAAGAGCCATACATACAATCTATGAACTTAGAATTAAATGAACATACTCAAAGAAAACAGAAAAATTACTTGAACAAACCTGCAAAAGTAGAATTCTATAACCATACTCTCTGAAAACAAAATTACATGGTCAAAATCTATGAAAACAGTATCATATGAACATACACTAGAGAAACTGAATTATAGGAGTATTCTTTATGAAAAGTGAATCTTATGAGCATAATCTGTGGAAACAGAATAATATGAATATACTTTACGAAAAGAGAAGTGTATGAAAATAATCTTTGGAAGCAGAATAATAAGACCTCAATCTAGGAAAACATCCAAGGCCTCCCGGTCATGTTGTAGAGTTTATCAATGGCAAAGCTGTGTGGAGAGGTATCGTAGGAGAAGTGTCTCGCCCCTCCCAGCCGGCATATCCTTCCTCCGCTACTGCCCGGGCATGTGCCGGCTGTGTGTTTGTAGGTGGGAATCTCAAACCATCCAAACGACGTCATTTTCTCTTCAACGTGCTGCCCTAGGGTCACGTGCTTCTGGTAACCGTGTGGGTGAGTAACAGCCAGCGACAGGTTTGTGGTGACCCCACGGTATTTTACTCGCACTTGCTCCGCTACTTCCAGGTAGTTCATGAAGATCTTCTGCAACTTCAGCCCAAAACTTTCGTCGTGTGTGGCGCACCAAATTCTTCTCTTATCTGCTTCAATGGCGGCTGAGTCCACTCCCCCGCATGTTATCGTTACCACATCTTTGGTGTCGTTGTCGTCGTCGTAGAAGAACTTGATGCTGGTCTTGGCGCACTCGATTTCATCGCACACGACATGACTGGCCGTGATGACGTCGATGAGCCACCACACCCTGTGAGGTTGGCTTGACCGCTGGCACTCCGGACACACGCACGGACCCGAGGTGTCTGGCCGCCAGTCCTCTTCGTCGAACTCTTCAAACACCTCTATGGTCGGCTCGTCACCACATGCACCACCTTGTCCTAGCGGGGCATTCTCCACACTATCCTCCTGCGATGTAATCTCTCCGAAGTCCTCATTATTGATTGAGCCCTTGGTATTTTCTTCGCTTTTCTGAACAGCCAGCTGAGAACTTTTTTCTTCTCCTTCGTCCTCCTTCGACATGGTTTCCACTCTCTGAGAATTGTCCGTGTTTTGTTCCCTACCCTCACGATCTTCAAACTCTTTATTCAGCGTTGTTTCATCGTTCACGGCGCCGCTGTCTTCAACTTCTAAGGATGCCAGTTTTGGCGTTTCCCCTTGTGTGTCAAATTCCAATAAGTGACCCTCGTTCTGAGAAACATTGTCTTCAGGGCTGACCTCCCGTGTGTTTTGTTTCAAAAACGAAGATGGGAATTCTTTCACATTCCCTTTGGCTTGAGGTTTACTTTCAGCACTTTCATTAAGCCTGTCACCCAAGCTGCCAAACCCTTCATTGATTGTATTGGTCATAGAAACAACATTAGAACTGTCCCTGACAACGGTATTTTCCTCAACCTTTAATCTTTTTACCAGCCTTTCATTCGCCTCGATACTGGCATCCTCTCTGGGTGTTCCCGGTCCGAAGGAGGGGCTGTTCCCGTGTACGCTATCGTCAGAACTGTCATCACAAAGCGCCACGACACCGGTCGTTGCATCCACATCGTCCCCGTCATCGTCTGCTGCTGGCAGCCCGCACATTTCGACCCAACTGACACAGCCACTCCCCACAGAGCTCACAGGGCGACCTTTGTACTTGGAGAGAGGGTACGGACTCTTGCCATTCGGAGCCAAGTCGGGCCGGCCAGAGCTGACACAACCTACGTCCAGACAGACGCACAGATCGGCTAGACAGCGCACGTAGGACAGCAAGAGCTCGTTCCTGTGGGAGGCTGGTAGGTGCTGCAGGGTGAACTCTCGGACCGGAGTGAAGCCTCGGTGGCCTGGGTGCTTCCGGCATCGGTTAAACCGTCCCTTAGCGCTGGGGCTGTTCTCGTACACAATTTCTACCTCGTGCCGATCTGTGGAAAGATCATTGAAGAGAGAGAAGAAAGTTTGATTCGTTTTGGTTTTGTGTTGCATTCGTTTTTATTTTGTTTTTGGTCATTGCTTTTTTAGTACTTCTCAAAGCCCAACCCCAGGTCCACGTCAGGGGAGGTGGAAACTGGACAAAGTAGAGGATTGCTGGATTCTACGAAGTACGGTGTGGCTTTATACCACTGAGGCGTCACGCTAGCCATGAAGGAGAACCCGGGTCACCCCGAAAAGTTGCAGGCTAACGGGGCTCTGGTGAAACAGGTACAGGCCTTGCAAGTCGGCAGTGGATTATTAATTGCCATAGAAACTAATCAAATGGTTTGGACACCTCATGCAATTACTAACACACCATCCAGCACAACGTGCCTACATAGCAAAATTCAATGGCAACAAAGCTAGAGGGCGACCGAGAAAGACCTGGATAGATGGAGTCAGGGAAACATTAACAACTCATAGCATCCCCCTGACCCAAGCTCTCCGGCTGGTGGCAGAGAGACATCTCTTTCTTCCCACGACACCCAAAAGGGTATACCTGGCGGATAAAAGTAAGTAAAGTAAAGACTTTTTAGTGGGTAGGGGTAGGGATTGGGCGTGGGGGGGGGGGTGCATTGGAGGTGGGAGGGTAATGTTGTATTCTTTGCTTAATGTGTGCGAGGGAGGGGCATGAATTTACCAGTTTACAAACTAAATGAATCGGTATTGGACACCCCCTTCCAATTACATAAATCGTCGTTGTTATTAGACAAACGCAATGTAATTGAATTTGAATGAAAATGGAAGATTAAAATCTAAAGAGACAAGGAGGGTATAACCTGGGGATACATGTATTTGGAAATGGAAAATACATAATATTATTATATACAGAATACTGGCTCTTGAAACAAAAAGAAATGTTCTTTATATTTTATTAAAGATTTTTTTTTAAAACAGACTTGATCGTACAAACAAACTGCAAACAAACAATACACTAAGACATCATTATACACTGCCAGTTAATACTTATTATGCTGAAATTAAAATTACGGTTGCAACATCAGCAGGACAGATTTTTAGTAAGAGGTCTACGGCACTTGCAACACAATAAGGTCATATTATATCAATAGGACAGATTAAATGGGTTGGGATAAAGGGTGGAGTACAATTGCAGTGACAGAAACAATAGAAAGGTAACGGAAACAACAATTCTCGCTAATAAAAGTGGGTTATACAAACAAACAAACAAACAAACAAACAAACAAACAAACAAACAAACAAAATCACCACTCGCCTTATTGGCTGAGAAATTTTTGTTGTTGTTTTTTTTTCTCAGTCGTACCAATCATAACAAGGCTCCTACCCCACACATCACAGACTACCCCACCCTTTCTCCAAAAAGAGCTTAGAAAAAAGTTCTAATGTAGTAGAAAAGGCAACAAAACCAAGTAGGGGGCTCTCGTGGCCTAGAGGTTAAGGTGTTCGCCTCTCATTCAAAGGTCCCGGGTTCGAATCCGAGTAGCGACCGAAAAAGTTTTCTTCACGAAAATTGTCTCCTTTCACCTCCTTTCCTGCTCTCTAGCAGTGTTTTATCGTCTGCTTTCGTCTCCTCTTTCTGCCCCCTCCCACTCATCTCTGGGCTCCTGACTCTTTCTACAGCCTTTCTACTGCTACTCCTTGGCTCCTTCTTATTGCTGTCTTTCTGCCACACCCCTGATCTTCTGGTAGGAAAGATCTACACCTAGCGCTCATATGACCGTATGCAGTTGTGAGCGCCGTAAAACACGCACAAAAAAAAAAATAATTTTATAATAAAACAAAAACCATGCAAAACAACATGGCAGTCCTTACCATCGTCGTCATACTCTTCCATGATGAGACGCCTTACACTCAGCCTCCACACAGGTCGAAAACCCACTCTGGGAAGATCTTTTTCAAATCAGAAACCTGGAGACAATATTAAACGTTTAAATTCATTCTATATTTTTAAATTCATTCTATATTTCAAAAAAACGTGTAAGAGTTTCACAATCCCTGATTCCTTGACAGGTGTTATACTACATGTATTTACCGTACGTTTGGAACTACATGGAAGAAAAGGGACTAAAATAAGTTTGGGCTGAAAGAAGCTTTTTTTTAAAAAAAAAAAAGTGTTTTACGGCGCTCGCAACTGCATAAGGGCATATGAGCGCGCGGGACACTTTAAACATTTTCAGTAGGTGGCAAATTTTGAGTTTTTCTCGGGTGGCGGCCGAAGCCTACTCTTATCGATTTTAAACCATCAAGGGATCTTTAACGTGCGCAACTTGCATACAGGACTTCAAACATTTTTCGCCCTGGTCCGAGGGGGCTAGGTGTAGATCTTTCCTACCAGAAGATCATGGGTGTGGGTAAAAGAGCAGTAAGGAGTCAAGGAGAAGCAGTAGAAAGACTGCAGAAAGAGTCAGGAGCCCAGAGGAGGGGGCAAAGAAGGTGGGGGCAGAAAGTGGAGACGAAAGCAGACGACAGAATATTGCTAGAGAGCAGGAAAGGAGGTTGGAGGAGACAATTTTAGAGAAGAAGAACATTTTTCGGTCGTTGCCCGGATTCGAATTCGGGACCTTTGACTTGTGACAGTCATTATACTTTGACCTGATTCAGTTTGAGAGGCTTGTTCATGCATGTCCCTGGCCTCTTCAGTCTCCTATCTTTGAACATTATTCTAGAAAGCCATATTTGTTTTCAAATATCAGAAACGTAAGCTTACAGCTTCACGGATCTTAACTATTGTTCTTGACATCTCAATAGGAACTAAATCATTTACTTATCTCAGTAGTGTGGATCAGGCGTAAGATATTTGCAATAGAACACTAAAGATAACTTTCCAGAGGCTCCTAACAATAACCCTTGTAAGTTTGTTCGATATCAAGTATACACGACTCATTTGACCCTCAAAAATCAAGAGACTCATAAGTAACGCATCAGTCGTTTGTACAAGATGGCGAAGTCAGTGATACTTCAGTGCTAGCGGTAGGGGAATAGATGGAGAAGTCAAAGATACTCATTAGTAATACATTAGATGGAAAAGTCAAAGATACCTACAATATATCAGTGGTAGCACAATAGATGGAGAGGTCAAAAATATTCATACGTCACACAACGGTGGTAGTACCAATGAAAAAAATTGTCATATAATGATCATTGAACTCTTCTGTTTCCATCTACCAAAAAAAAAAGATCAATTGAAAAGCTCACAAAACGTCCACTTTTGTTTCATATTAGAAAACAGCGAGTAGTATAAAATCAGACCTACCTGCCTCGAAGCCAGAAGAATAATATTATGTATGTCCGTTATTGATTAACTGGAATCATAATCCACTTTAAATCGTCTGCGGATGGCACTCCTTATTTGTGCTAACCACACTGCCGTTGTTTTAAAAAAGTACTGTATATGCATTAAAAAAAATTTTTTACTGGAGAGCCAAAAACTGAATAGTTGTTGGTTGTTACCAAGTAAACAAACTGTTTGCAAACATCCCAAGTCGAACTTTTTTAGAATACAAGTTTGACACTAACTTCCTTATTATCTTCAAAGTAAATATTATTTTTGTAAAAATATTCCGTTTCTTTCAGCCCTTCCTGTAAACCTGTAAAACTGCAAGTACAGTGTTTTTAAAAGTGACGACGATGACAAAGACAAGTACATTCATAGTGATATCCTAGATCGTGCATTTTGTAGTGTTTCCACTTCACTATGGAGCGCATCTTTTGACTCAATCTGAGCCAAATGAAGGGTGAGGGGGTAAAGTAGAGGCGCGTACTTGGTGATAGCACTCTGGTTTTCTGTTCTTTATTTGTGCGTAATGACGCGCCCCATAGAGCACACTACACTTCGCGGCAGTTTTTATAGAGAGCAAAGCAAGGCGGCCATGAAAGTGTGCGATCAAGGTATACAAGTCTATGGCTTTGACAATGCTTGAAACACTTCCCTGCTTTACGAATGACGTAAAGTTTTCCTGGAAAAGGCTAAGCCGTACGAAGTACGAATGCCTTAAAAAGCCCATTATCAGCGAAACACGACAGTTGGTTTTTACTTCCAGAAGATTATCTTAAAAGGAAGGCAAAGATTCAAACTGCTGATAGAAACACTTTATAGGCTTAGTCACAGGCACTGTTGCACATTATATTTGTTTGGGGGCCTAGATTCGTTATGGTCTTGACCTATGAAGTACACTGTACTTAGATATCAAAGAAAAGTCACAACAACGGATAATGGAAAATGGAGACTATGATCATGGAATATGCAAGGCGTGGCTAAAGGTTTGTTTGGTAATTATGTAATTACTTGAGGATAAGGATCAGATCTAGATACTGTCGATGGCGTAAAATATCTAGCATACAACTAGTTGTCGCCAGCATAATAGAATAATAAATTATTTGTATTACCCAACTCGTAACGTCGAGCATTTAAGACCGAACGAACTTGAAAACAAATGCCCGCTGATCAGAAAAAAATTGGAATCAGCAGAAACTTGTCACTCAATGAGGGAAGCATACCAGTTTGTCACAGACCTCGACTGTCCCCTGAATGATGGAAGTTATCAATGACACTCTCAAAAAGAGTAGATCTAAAAGAATGATTGATTGATAGTATGAATTGAATTTTATTTTTCAACTGTTTTTAACGGAAGAACATTCATTGTTGAAATTTTACAGAGTAATTTACTTTGATTTGCTTACAAAAAGGAAGAAATAATGAACAACACAAGCTGAATTGATATTTGAGAGGGACTATCTTTACAACACCAATTTGACGGTGGAGATTTTTAAAAAACAACTAAAGTTACGAATACAGTGTTAAAGTGCTGTAATTATGACTGTCGTCAATAGGGGACGACTCAAATACTTAAATGAAATTGTGGCAAAATGGGCAGCCCCCACTCTGAGCAAGTAGTAGTAATAATAATAATAATAATAATAATAATAATAATAATAATAATAATAATAATAATAATAATAGATAGCATTTGTATAGCGCATATCCCCGCTCAACAGCAGGCTCAATGCGCTTTACACATAGTAGCTGCAGAGCATGGAAGAGTGCGGCAATGCTGGCACTCTGATTCACAAAACAAACCAAACTCGAACATACACATTATAATAAAACGAAAACAAAACTATCAAAAGAAGGAAACCTACCGCCGGCGCCAGTGGATCCACTTGCTGTTTTGCTTTATTGTCGCTAAGTGGGGAACTCCGGGTCAGATCAGCATACGCCGCACAACATAATAATTAAAAAATAAATGGGGAGAAAGAGAGCGGAAGGTGTGTGTGGAGGGAG